GATATGCTTTACTATATTTAAATGTGTTAAATAAGACTTTTTCTTTTCCTATTAAATTTGGTCTCTGTGAAGCTATTCAAATAATAGTTTAAATGTTCATTTAATAGTAAAAAGTATTATCTGTTTCCTATATACTCTTTCTGACTCCTTTTTTTATATTTTTACCTTTTTCCTTGTAGCCTGGCTGTATATAGATGGTCCTATAGAAGTTATATATAGATGGTCTCAGTAGAAGTTCAGTAGAAGTTATATCGATGGTTTAATAGAAGTTTATCGAAAAAGATTGTTAGAAGAACGTTCCAGCTACAGAGGTTGTTTCAAGTATTTCAAGAGGTTTAGTTCGAGCCATCCAAAGAAGTGTACGAGATTTAACTGTACCTAAGAAGATCTATCAGTTGGTGATATCCAAGCCTATCATACGAATCCCTTGTACCTGCTACCTGTTATACCACAGATAAGTTATAATAAATCATTTAAATTTGAATAATTAAGTCTCTGTGAATTAGAATTTGTCGCTACCTTATTTAATTATAATATCATAAAGGTTAGTGATTTTCTATATTTTCATCATTAATCGCTTGTCAAGTTTAGAAAGTTTCAATATAGTGGCGTCCAACATTCTTTTTCAAAGTGATACGAGTTGTTTAATAACCTGACCCACTCCCCAAATAATAAGAGCTAAAATACTATAAAAATAGATAAAATAACAAGATCATATTACAAACCGTAACGTATTGGTCAAGGTCAGCTCCTTATTTGACAATAAGGTGCCTTCGACAGTTGGCGTTAAGGCATCAAAAATTATATCAAGAGACTTCTACGTTGATGATTTATTGACGGAAGCTGAATCTGCAGAAAAGGCAATTAAGTTGTGCAAGGAAGTGGCAAATATCTTAAGTGCAGGTGGCATGAACTTAAGAAGATGGGTGTACAATGAGGGTGCTGTTCAGAACGGTTTAAATTGTGAAGATAGGTACTCTTATCAGGTAGCATTTGGTGCTAAGGATGTAAATAAAATATTGGGCTTGTGGTAGAACTTTCGAGAATATCAATTAAGGTTTTCTGTAGAATTTAAGGATGCTGATAAAAGAGCATCGAAACGATCTATTTATCGCAGGATTGGTAGCACCAGCGGTGGTTTTGGCAAAAATATGAATCCAGAAGTTACGGTTGAAAAACTTGGATTGGGACGAGTCTTTACCTATGTCCCTAGGGACTGATTGGGTAAGACTTATGGTAAGATTAAATGTGCTTATGATTCCAAGAAAGGTGGTTGGGAATATTCACCAAATATAAATTTATGATGCTTCTACTGCGGCATATGGTGCATTTTAGACAATGTCCGGATTTTGTCCTGCCTTTGTCCGGTTTTGTCTGGTTTTTGTCCGGGTTTCACGGCTCAATTGTCCTGCATTTATGGAATCCCTACTTTTGACAATGCTGGAATGAGTGGTTTATTGCAAAATTAAAATATTTTATCAAAAAGTGAGATCGGAATTTAATATTCAAATTGACAGCTCGGACTGTAGGATGTCCTGACGACCGAGTTTTCATTATTTCATGGGGTTAATTTTAAAAAATTTATTTGGGTGTTCCTAAAGAATTTATCTAACAAAGCAATTGGTATGAAATAAAACAAAATTTTTATAAAAAATTATTTTTATTTAACTATTAAAAGTCGAAGTTAGAGTGCTGTAGGGCTCATTTGCAGCAGACTAATCTCACTTTTCGTTACAACTATTTATTTTTTTACCTTCTATTTTACAACTTACATTTATTGTACAATACAAATATACATATACATTTTTAATTTGTAAATAATCCTCCGTGAGTACTATTTTTTCTTTTCAAATTAAAAATTATTTTGATATAATTATCTAATTCGGAATTACCTATTATTGTCCTCTTACTATTACTAAGTAATATTATTATTGATTTTTCTTACAATTAGCGCCGTTTTGTTGGAATAGCAGTGCTATGTTCTTTTTTTGATATAGTAAAATATTGCACAGGTACCTGCATCTATAATAACACCTAGTGAAAAAGAGTATAGGATGTTTCACGGTAAAATAATATACATAGATGATCCCTTAGATAATTTCAAATAATCTACGGTGACTGGATGTCAGACAGAAATATAAAGTATGTTTGATTGAATTTGACAGTTGTTTATTGAGTCATCATAATATATGTTCGGAACTAACCTTTAATTTTTTACTTGCGTGTCTTATACTGAGAAATTTTATTAACAATTATAGTAATTATATTGGGACAAAGGGAATTAAATATATTACAAAAATTTATTTTAAATTTATAATGTATTTGACAAATACATTATAAATTTAACAACGGAGTATATTGGAATTGGAAAAGAAAGAACTTGATTAAATAAATTTCCGAAAGCTTGGATGAAGTAAAAAGAGTTTTCTTTAACTTATTATTTGTTGAATTCCCCAATAATTTGTTGGTTATTATAACGGTAGCTGTGCAAAATTTTTTTCATTTAAAAAATAATAGGCACTAGGTTTTACTTTATATTTGGGATAAGTAGCCAGGTTTCATAATACAGATAAACAGCTGGGATATTGATATGCCTTCCTAGTACCTATAGACTAGACTACAATTTATTTTTTGACTATCGAACTAAATTTTTTAAATTTATTTCGGAAAAATTAATTATTTTAATACAAAAATTTTGAAAAAACTAAGAATTCTCAATAAAAAATAATTATGATATATTTTAATTATAACGTATTTAATATCAGTGTTATTTGATTTATATGAAAACAACTTAAACTCTAATAAATTTTTATTACATACTCAAAAAAAATTTGCCGCCAAAATTGTATAAAATGTTAATAACATAATAATTAAAAGACCATTGAATACATTAAGCCGTGAAATAAATGACACATTGTTGATACTAGATTAAGTGCAAGATAAATTATACTATTTTTTAACCAATAAGTGTTGTATAATGCAAAACACAATAGCCAAAAAGCTGTATGACAAGTTATGAATAAAAAATTCGGAGATGAAATGTAATTTTTCATAAATAATTGCAAGAAAGCATTACCTCTAGCAATGAACCAGATATACAAAATAAGCTATCGAACACTTTCCAATACGCCGTTGCACAAATGTATGTGAAAACTACAAAGAGTTAGCATTAGAGCAAGCAAGAAACGAATAATATTAGCGATGCCAGTTTATACGGCCTGGCCAACGTTACAACGTGGTCGGTATAGTATAAAACAGTAATTGCTATCAATTTTACGCATAGTTTTGAATGTATTTAACGAAATTATGGGTATTAGTGACAAAGAAGGTTTAAATAGTATTCTACCAGAAATTAATAAAACAGCAGAGAATGCAAAATTAAGAATAAATCAAAACATAATAGAATGCAATAAAGTTGTTTGAACGTTAACATAAAGGGCTCATTCTTGCACAATAGCTTTCCTATAGCTTTCCTACTTTCATAGTAACATAGTATATTTTAACCCTTTTTATCAGGTTATTAACATTCAAATAATTACCAAGCCGCTTTACTAACATATTGTTGATCTAACATATTGTTGATTTTGATTGCAAAAGAAATGCTTTTTTTAAATCAATCAAGATTATGACCACAGAATAGCGAACTAAATAAAAGAAACAATAGATAGAAAGAAGATTTGTATGTACACACCTTCTTTATAGATGTAGTCCAAGCATTTCACAAAGAATGGTTGAAAGGTTTGGAATACAAGCTAATTAAGCTCTTGCGAAAACAATATTATAAAATCTGAAATCCTTATAAAAGATAAAATTTTTGAAGTGAAACATAAAGAAAAATACTTCATACTTAAAGAAATATAAGCAGATTTATCTCAATGAAGTGTATTTACATCTGACATAGCACATGCAGAAAATGTTAAAGTAGCATCGTTTGCCGAATATACACCAACCAAAAAAACAGTAAAATACTGATCAGTGGTATTAAAGTACAACAGAATAGATACTAAAACACAGCAAAATATCTAGGCATGAACCTAGATATTAAAACGAAATGGATAGAAACAAATGTGAAGAAATATAGAAAAGTATATTGGCTAAAGAATAGAAAATCATAACTATTATTAGAAAATAAATTATTAATTTACAAGCAAATAATAAAACCAATTTGGACTTATGTCATACAGGCTATGGGGATGTGCCAGTAGAACCAACGTAATTATTATCTAACAATTCCAAACTAAAATACTACGTGATATTGTTGTAGATACACCATGAAATGTAACGAATGTTGATTTCGAGACAGATCTGAGGATGCTAATATTCGACGAATAAATCAGAAAATGGCTGCAAAACACTAAAAAGACTATGACAACGTAAACACCAAAGCACTGTAGTTCTTGGACAACCAACATCTGATTAGAGGACTCAGTTGGACAAAAGCATTTGAATTAGTAAGTGAATAGTACCTACCACAAGAATACTATACGAAAGTGAATTGTGAAGTTCCCGTCTAAATAAAAAAGAAGAAGAAGTAAGGGATTCCATTGGGTAAACTCTTAGTTTTAAGTTTCTTAAGTTGATCTAAGGATTTCATTGCTAGTTGGTATTTTAGCTAGGTGCAATGTAAATTTCATAAACAAAATTTTCACACTAAAAATAAATATATTGTTTTTTGGATCAAAATAAATATATTGTTTTTTGGATCAAAATAAATAACAACCTTTGGTTAATATTAGTAACTCTAAGTACCTTTGAAAGTTAGTTGACAGGTGTGCCAAATTCAAAAGTACCTATTCTTTATACAATATTTATTGACGAATTCCTTAATAACGCACAACAAAAATGCTGCAATTTTAATTCCAATTTAAAAAATGATGTTATGGATTTAATTAATAAATAAAATTATTATTAATAAATTATTATTAATAAATTACTATTATTAGAATATTACACAATTTTCCAATGTTTCATTTCTAAAGTTTTTAAAAATATAAGGATTCCTTTGAGTATGTAATTTTCTAAAAAAAAACCTTTTAAGTTAGGTGAAAGTCTCCTTTTAAAATCCTAGTGAAAGTCTTCTTAAATTGCTGATTGGCCAAAGCGTAGCAGAAAGGATTCAATGGACTATTTGCGTAGCACAAGAAGTACGAGAACATGTAAAGGTGGCCATTAATACACGGGGGGTCGGTGCAAAACCCCTCGACTAGCGCGAAAATGTGAAACGGCGTCCAGCACACCACGAACGCCCCCAAGATGAAGGAGATTGTCCTCAGAGCCTTCCTGGCGCGATTTTCCGACTTGGATTTTTGCCTACCAAATCCCAAAGGACCAATGGTCTTCTTCTTAGCCTTGAGTCTCTTACCGATCGATTTAACAAACACCCTTTTCGGATTGTCGACTGAATCTGTACAAAATTTCGGTCTGTAATTACAGGTGGTTGTATAGGGGCCATTTTTACCTGTTTGGCTAATAGCTGAAATGCCTCCCATTGGCGAGCTGTCTTCAGTCATCTCCCCTGTTCTGTCCTCTTCCACTACAGACGTAACAGGCCGGTCGGCGCTAATAGTCACTTCAGTCTGCATCTTTTGCTCTCCCTGTACAAATCGAGGAGAACTAGCGTTACTCAATGCGGGGTTCTCTAAGGTTGGGGAGGGTACAACTACAGAACTCTCGTCCATATACCTCAAATCAGCGCCGTCTAAGCCTACTAGGAGATCGTAGGTACTCTGAGATTGGGGTTTAAATTTTAAGCTAGAGGGTTTTTTGCTATCTACAGGGGGTTGCAGAGTACTGTCGTAACTTTTGCTATTTACAATGGCGGTACAATGAGGGTCAGGCTGGGGTTTTACACCTACCGTGTATTGTTTTGATTTTTTTGAAACGACTAACGGGTCGCATTCGGTGATTTGGAGTAGGTGAGGTTTTTCTGGATGCTTTCGTGGCTACAAAAAATAAAAAAGATTATTAATAGCTATTAATATAACCAGTTACAAGATACCTTATTTCGAATAACGAGTAAATATTTACGGTACGAGCGGTGCGAGGTCCCACAATGAAACGAGTTACACAAAACGGCATATGAGATTTTTCTAATTTTGACTTGATTATTTATAAAATTGTGTTTGCAAAAAAATGATTAACCATTAATTGTTGGAAATGATTTTTAAGTTTACACGATGGCCGCTCAGGGGCGTAATTGTGACGTCAAAACTTGAAAATATTATTTTCTCAAAAAAAATACCAAGTATATTGATAAATAAAACTATTTTAATCTTAAAGGAAGACAGTTTAAACATTTGGAATGGCATTAAGTATTAGATCTTCGGTTTGTGTTTTCAAAGCTTACTTGATATGCAAATTTAGATGCTCAATTGATTATTATATTTGTAGGAATTTTGCATTCTTATCTAATGTCGTTCCGTTATATAAAATACGTAAAAATCATGGTTGGGCATTATGTTTTATATTTATACCTTAAAAAAATCAACCTAGTAGAAAATGATGGGCAATTAAATGTGTTATGTCTCTACGTTTTATTTATATTTTTGCTAAAATCTGCGGTTTTCGCCAAAGTATTGCGCATTTTTCTCTATCTAACTATGTAAAAAGGTATATATCATTTTATTCCAATTTTTCGAAACTTTTCATAATTTTTTTTTAACTTAATGTCCTCGAGCGGCCTTCGTGAAATGTAAGTAGCCACAGTTAATACAGTTAAAAATAAGGCTCAAAAAGTTCTTCTAAATGAAACTAAGTTCACTTAATTCGGAGTCAAACCGGAGTTATGAGCATTTTTCCAAATTAAAGTTTAACCTTTTCCCACCACTCTATTTCGCAAGTGATAAAATTATATTATATTTGATTTTTTATTTCAAGAAAATTACATTTCTATGTTTTGGCATCACAATTACAACCCCTAGCGGCCATCCTATAAACTTGAAAATATTTTCCAGCAATTTCTCTTGATCGTTTTTTCTTTAAATACTTTTTCCCCAAGGCTGTTATACTATTATTAGTTTCTGAAATATAGCCTGCTACCTCTCTTCATGAAACACCTGGTACATCCGAACAAATATTTAAAAAAAAAATTATAATCACAAACAATTTTAATTTTATTGTAAAAATTTTTAGATTTAAAAAAAAAATGCATATATTGCAGATTTTGCATAAGATATATGTATGTGTGGCTCTACGAAACAGTTCAGGAATTATCTTTAGTATATTAGGAAAAAAGTTTTAAAGGAATTACCGATTTTTCTTGATTCCTAACCGCTCCCTTGGCTGGTGAAATATCTCCATTGACTCTAGTATTACTAAAAACGTGTAACGGTGCACTCGATTGCATAACAATTCCTACTATCGACGTCCTTTTCTTCGTTGCTAACTCAACTTGGTTCTTTTGTCTCTCTTTCTCCCTTTCTTTTTCCTTCTCCTTCTCTTGGACAGGCGCAGTGCTGTCTTCATCAGATTCGAATGCTGGGCTACTGGATCGTTCCGACTTATCTCCACTTTCTTGTGCTGCAGCAGTAGTACCTTTGAAAATAGTTAAGAAAATAAATATTTATGGTACTCACTATCATTATTATATATTTTACCTTTTGGTGGACAGAGATTTTTCTTATCCGTGGAGGATGCCGTTGTAGTAGTCGTAGTTGTAGTGGTAGCACTATTAGTTGTAGTACTAGAATTAGAATCTGCTGATCCTCCAGCTCTATAAGAATCCAGTACTGTCAAAGTATTTTTGTCAGGTTTCTCACATACTACTGCAGTATTGAGCTGCATTGGAGTTGGCTTATCTTGACTTTCGGAGTTGCTTTGCGCTTTAGAAATACCTATACCGGCAGCACGACCCGCCATTCCGCTCATAGCGCCCGCGCTAAGAGCGACCATGGATTGCATCTTGCGCTGCTTGGCTTCGCTCTTTTTCTGCATGTCAAATGCCGTCTTGTAGATACCTCCGTATAAGATAAATAGTACTACTAGCGTGGTCCAGTAGTACGATATGATTAGTGCCGTATTAAACACAGGATCCTTTAAGAACTGCACAGCACACTCTCCAGGCTGCAAGTCCCTAAACCCAGTGAAATGCTCCCATCCAAATATGCTAATGAAGAATAATAATGCAGGGATAATCCAGGTTATAGTAACCATCCAGATGACTCTTTGCTTCGTTCTCCAACTTCTGTACTTGGCTGCTATCTTAACCGAGCAAAATCGGTCTATCGTTATTAGTAATACAGTGTATTGGGATACTAAACAGACCGTATAGTCCACAGAGAGCCAAAGATCGCAAAGTAGCGGACCAAGATTCCAGTAGCCCATTAAGACGTATACTGTGTAGAAAGGCATTGATACTGTCCCTGAAACAATAATTTCAAACATTTATTTGGTACAATTTTATTTACAATTACAAGATTTATAAATGTAATAAAATTAAAGTCCAAATCCACGGTACACACTGAAAAATACGCTGTTTAAACACCTCCAAAATAAAATATTTAGTTCTAAGAACACTATCCGGTGCTCATAAACTCTACGATGTTCAGGTCTTAAAAGATTATTGGTCTTGTTACATTAAAGTGACCTTGGCCAAGCCTGTTATACATATTGTGGAAACTTGGACTTTCCTAGCGATCTGAATCTCAGTTAGGAACACATTATGCTTTTTGAACGCATTTTAAAATAAAAAAATATTCTTGTGACTCGTCTGCACGTATAGACCCATTATAAAAGTATGACTTACTTTTACACCTTTTACTCAATAAATCCAGACTTTTCCAAAGCTTAGCTCATCGTAGCATAAACCCCCTTATATGCATGATCGAGATGCCCTTTCGTATCCTTTTCCCGTTCTTTTTGTTGTACATATTAAAATCTGTCGTTTTATTTACAAACTCTGCGAATTACTTTCAAGTCTCCCCAATGTTTGTGGTATTAGTATAATCTTCAAAATTCTTAGTCGGCAAAACTTTATAGCATGACATCTCTAGAAAGAAAGTTGAATTAAGTACCTCAAGTCGCGGTAACATCGACGAAAGATTAATTTAAGAAGATTTCGTTGAATACGATCTGTTTTGAAGACGAATCGTTTTGTTTATGGTTTTTCTGTACTTAAAAGGCTATTTATGTTTTCGGATTTTTCCTCTTGAAAAGAAATAAGAATATGTATAAAGACGATGGAAAGAAATAAGGCAAGATTTGGTGAAATGGGATTGTGTGTAATTTCTACAACCAAAGACAATTCGTGTTAACATTATCCCATAGCTAACTTAAAAATTCATAACTAAAATAGGTAATGTAACTTGTATCAAAATGGTAGACCCCCAAAATTTAATAGGAATCGTTCATGCGATTGATATATGGAATACGAACTAAACATACAACAAAAATTAGTAAAGGTACCTAATGTATTCAAACTTTCAGTACAAATACATGTCAGAAATAGTAATTATTATAGCTACAACTGATTTTTAATGAAGCAGTTTCTTATAAAAATATCTAGGTAATTGAATTCCTACGCATCAGATTTTCTGTCTCTTAATTTGGGGTTTCTTTTACTCTTTGATGATGATGTTGACATGTTATGAAATAATGGACATAAGGATTATTAAGTCAATGGAATTAGACCAGAGCATACTGGCGCATTCGTTTGCAAAATTGTTTTAATTCGTAATTTTTTTTTTAATATCCGGAAGGCTTGCCTAATTAAAAAAGTGTAAGATGACACTCGAGATTTGTTGATGTTATTGTTTAAAAAACGAAAAATTAATTAAGCCAGAAAAAATGCATTTTTTGCAATGAATTAATTTTTTTTGTATTCTTTGGGATATTTCGAATAAAAAAAGTCCTTACGCCTATCATCGTATCTTCAACCCTTTAATTGTTATGAATTTTTTAAAATCCAAAATTGATAATATTCCTTAAAATTTAAAATGCTATAATTTTAAATTTTTTACCGAATATTCAAACTATAATAAACAAAATTACCTAAATCAATTTTTAAAATTTTGTTTGTTGTTATGTTTTTTTTGTGTTATAACAATATGCTTACTACGCGCCACGATGCCACGAAAAATATTGTTCACTAGTATTATCATTAAACAACAAATTAAATCGCACAGCACGTTATCGTTTCGATGAAGAGTTGCATTTTTTAATTTTAAATATGTAACAGGTTTCGGACACTTCACTAACGCCTCGCCATGATCACAAAATAAACACTTTTTGTCGTTAGATAATATAATTTTTTTTTAAATTAAAGAGAACGACATTATTATTCAGAAAATTACACGACTGCAAAGTAAACCAGTAGATATGGAATCGAGCAAGACTGATTAACAACTGAAAAATAATTTTCAAAACGAGCCAAAAATTCTAAGGTAGGGTTAAATTTTCTATTTGGAAGGTTGTAAAAATTGTTTATGACAGGAAAAAAAAATAGAAGAAGAGTTAAACGTACAATTTTTTCAAAATACGAAATAAGTCCCTTTACCTATTTGTATTTATAGCGCAAAAGATTGAAAATCATAAAAAAATTTCATATTTATAGTACTTACTCTCAATATTAGAAAAAAATTTTTTTTTCCTTATTTTTGTTTAATGGAGAAAGGCTTGGATATTTTTGAAATCATAAAATTTTATAACCCCAGTAAGCCTACTATGTTCATTGTAACAGGTAGAAATTTTTCACGGATCACGACAAGTGCATTTGGCCTTTTTATCGTATTGAAAAAAAAAAGGTTGAAGAAAATTTTACTTCTCAGGCAGTATCTGACAATAATTTTTTCATGAATAAAAATAAATGTTAAAAATAAATGTTTCTGTTAACTTTAATAAATAAAAAAGTTATCTAAAAAAGTAAAAAAAAATCACATGATACAAAACTATTAATCGGCAAATATAACAAAGTGTTATGAAAAACGTTAATAATAATTTTTTTAAACTTAATATCTCTGAAAAACAGCAAAAAATTGATTCAGCGCGTCATCGGGCTTTCTCTTACCCATCTTAAGCCGGCTACTCACTACGCGTTACTTGCCAAGTACTTTGCAAGTACCATGTAATGTGTATGGAGACTTGTATAGACTCAGCAAGTTACTTGTACTTCCCGTCGGTTGTCGGTAAACGGAAAGTCAAAGGATCCGAGTAAAGTTACTACTACTACTTTAGAAGGCGCGCGTAATGTAGACGATTTACTTGTACTCGAACAAGTACTTGCCAAGTTCAGTCCAACCCAACTAACAAAGTAGCTTTATAATTTTTAGTTTACAAGACTATTATATTTTATTGATATTATATTGCTGTTTCTGGAATGCTAATTTATTGTACTACAGTTGCAGAAATCACTATTTTGTTCTCTGAAACTAAATAGTTATATAAATTAGTTTTTACAATATTCTTACAGCAAAATTATAAAATTGTTTTCACGATAACTACGAAATTGTTACATAAACATTTATACAACTGTTCTATACAATATTTCAGCTTATAAAATAAAATTGCTTTATAGTTATTCTATATTATTGTTCTGGATTACCTTTAGAACTTTTTGGTCATACAAATATAACTGTTTCTTAACCTCATAATAACGCTTTAAAAAATAGTTATATAAATATTAGTGTGAGATAATTCCGCATCAATAGCAATTTGCTTCTGATGAAAACTCTAAAATAACTGTAATATATTGTCGAAATATACTATTACAAATCAGAAAACTGTATAACAATTATTTTAGTTAAGAATAGTATTATCCCTTTAAAAATATTTATAAAAAAAATAAAGCAACTACATTTGGTAGCACCTACGCCATATTATTTTTGTATTTTATGTTTGTTCAACTACTTTCCATACCAATTGTATGTGAGTGTATAGTCTGAAAATGTCAAATTTAAATATTGAAGAAATGTAAAAAATAAGTGGTACCTGCTTTTCAGAGAACAGTAAAAAATATTAGTAAAACATTTTGATGGTTTGTCTAGACACTCAAAAAAAAACTATCATTCAGCCAGATAATAATTAGGTATGTTCTGAATAATCATGCCCCAATACTAAAAGAAAGCCATATTTTTGGCGATGTCCATGTTAAACTTGCTTATTATCGTAATATTAAAAATTATGCTTGCTCTATAAAGCTGTAGAAACAAATCGGAAACGATTTAGTAAGGTTATGTTATATTTTGTCATATAGTGCAGAAATATGAAACAATTATACAACAAACCATGATGAAGTTGTTTTGTAGAAATAAGTAATACAACTTAATTATTGTATTACAGCTGTTTTTACTACAATAATATTTTATAATTATGATTCAGTCTTAAAATAACTTTCTAATACCTCTGAATAGCCGCCATATTTAACAAAAACCTAAGACAGTTTTAAAGCTAAATCTACTGTCGGTTTTACTAGTATTTAAGACAAAACCAATGTAAATTAAAGATTTTAATCATTAGTAATATTAGCATAATCTTATTACTAAAAAAAATCAAATTGCATAAATTTAATTTTTGTTTCACACTGAAAAAGTATTAGAAATATGAATCAAACTCGAGGCGCTTAAAAATTTAGTATTGTATGTGCTATATAATTAACAGTAATTCTTGCTGCGCATCCAAAAACGACTTTATTGTAGGTCATACATTATGTTTAAACCGCGTTATAGATATTTCTTAAGTAAATACTGCCATTTAACTAATATCGCCTTGAATTTACTTTTATGACAAATATAGAATTAATTTGTTTTCACCAGACACATTTAAAAAACTAAAATGTTACTGATTTTGATATGCAACCTAACCTCAAAATTGAAAATTTATAAAACAGTTATAAAAGTTTAAAAAAACATTTGTTTAAAGTCTGTGTAAATGTGTAGTAACTGTTCGGTAACTGCATTCAACAAATCTTATAGAATTTACAAAAGAACCAAATAGTTCTGTAATACTGCGCCCATTTTGTGTTTATTACTGTTGAAAGAATGTTCCGGAAATGTTCTTAGCTAATATTCTATTTTATAAATTTTGTTCTGTAAACATTTTTTCAGCTTTTATAAAATATCAAATTGTTACTTGGGAAGTCAAGTAACTCGGCAAGTAATGCGTAGTGAGTAGCCGGCTTATACATTGAGTGGGAAGTACACGCGCATAGGAAGCATATTATAACGTAAAAAAAACAACAGCAAACAAAATTTTGAAAATTTATTTAGGTTATTTTGTTTATTATAGTTTGAATATTCGGTAAAAAATTTAAAATATAGCATTTTAAATTTCAAGGAATATTATTTAATTCAAAAAAATTAGAATTTTCGTCAATTTTGGATTTTAAAAAATTCATAACAATTAAAGGGTTGAAGATACGATAATGGACGTAAGAAATTTTTTTATTCGAAATATCCTAAAAAATATAAAAAAAAATTAATTCATTGCAAAAAATGCATTTTTTTTGCCTTAAATAATTTTTCGTTGTTTAAACAATAACATCAACAAATATCGAGTGTCATCTTACACTTTTATAATTAGACAAGCTTTCCGGACATTTAAAAAAAATTACGAATTAAAACAATTTCGGAAACGAATGCGCCACTATGCCCTGCACTAAATAGTAACTATAGTCACATCTATAGAGCAAGGGACTATCCGACACTAAACACGTTTCCCCATTTTAGTGGCGGTTACGTAGCTTCCATGTAGCAGGAACGTAGCCGCCAATGGTAACGGTTCACTTTATCGTTGCTTTTATAGCCGCCGATACGTTCCCGCGACTTTATGTGTTACTTGGATGTCCTGTGGTCTCATTAGTTTGCAAAATATAATATTTCTGCGATGACAGCGTCGACCAATAAAATATTGAAAATTAACCGCATGGCTTTATAATGAATATCAAGCTTGATGTTACTAGATGTCAAATTAGAGCTTACGTGGAACAAGCGCAGTAAACTGCACAAGGAACAGTATTAGGTATCTCTATTCGCTCCGTGCGAAGTCATGGAAAGGGAAGCAAAAGCGATACTAGCGCTAGCTGCGGATAATTTGTGCATTTTAGGGCGATATTTTGTAATTTTCGCATATCAAATACACGTATACATTTTACTTTTTTTCAAAAAAGTTGGTAAAAACAACACAATAAGCAACCGGAGTTGCGGTGTTGAAAATTGTACAAATACTAGCAAAAAAAAACAGTGAAACTTATATAAGAAATTTCACTAGCAAAGTGGAAATTAAATCAAAGAAATAAACGGATAGGTGTACAATAAGACGAAAAATTACCTTTATTTTTGTGATAATAACAGTAATGCTGGAAATAGTAGAGATCAGAAACTTGAAAGGTTTTAAATAAACAATAAATTATCATTTTACGATGTTCTTTAATATCCCTTTATTCTTAAATGTTCATTCAGCAAGGACTAGATTTCAAGATTTCTGCCTTTGATTATAATATGTGACTGGAATGCAATTTTTTGACTGATGGAAAACCAGTTTTATTCATTCATTCTATGTTTTCTTTCGAACAAAAATGAAAATATAAATAACGATCCTTTTTTATACATTTTAACTTCACGCTATTATTAAATGGTATTTTTTATTTTGATAGAATAGGTTAATTCTTCAATGACAACTTATTAGACTTAGGGAACTTCTCATATATTTTCCAGTAAATACTGTTGCCTGCCTATATTTTATTATCGATTTTTATTGATTATACATAATTTTCTTTAATTTAAGCGGGAAAAATATATAATAATAATAAATTAATGTTTTACTTATTTTACAAATCCATATACTTTTATTAAAACTGACATATATACTTTTTATTTACGAATTCTATTAAAAATTGTATTTGTCAGTATAGGCAGAAATAGTCTTTTAATGCCAAAAAAAATTGGCGCTGCTGTCGCGCACGGAGCGAATATGTGGGTGATATTTAAATCAAATCTTGAAATCCCTTTTAGTACACACCAGCGAAATATTCTCAAACTGTCATACTAGTTTTGCTATATTTTTTACTTACCAATTAACATATCAGTACAAGCTAACGATGCTATGAAATAGTTACTAGGCTGCCTAATATTCCGGTCCACGATAAATGCCAATAACACCAATATATTCCCAGCTACGGTCAGTATTATACAAATTCCCAAGCTAATAGCTATCAAAATGGCCTGCCATAGCTTAAACGGCGGCAGTACAGGCGCTAAAGTATTGTCTGAGTTGTCGGTACCGGTGCGATTGGAGTCTTCGGTGCCGTTGAGTATTCTGGAGCCACTACCAGCCCAATTCGAGTTGTCAAAAAGGTTCAGCGGATCTTGGGATTCCCACGGGATGTTCTGAGATAAGTTAAACGAGTCGTAGCACTCGGTGAGAGTCAGGAAACCGCTGTAGATGGTCTTGCATAATTTATCGCGCTGTTTTTGTCGTTTCCTGGAACGAAAATTAAATCAATGATTATCAGTTCTGATTTAGTTTTGGATTTGAAATTATGCAGGGTACATAACAAGAGGCACACACGATGTCGGAATATTAATAAACGCCTTTAAACCATGTTTGTAAGCTTAAAATAATTTATTTGACATTTAAAAATTAAAGCAATATAGAAAAAAGTATGTGGTTTGACCTAATATTATTATGATAAGCATGATTATCTAGTGAAATCAGTACCCATAACTAAAACTGTGTTAGGTATTTCAAATAAAATGGCTGCCTAAGGGTTTTGACAGGGTCGAATAGAATATAAGTTTTTCAAAATACCTAACATAAGCTTATGCTTCAAAGTAAAAAAATATAGGTAATTATTTTATTATTATACAAGGTGTCTCATTAAGAATGGGACACAGAACAACTGAAAATTCTCTAAATAAAAATATGCTGATTAAACCAAACAATATTGATAAAATATTACCCGTTTCCGAAATACACGTGTGCTTAGCTTAACTTTTTTGTTCCTAGAATCAATTCTAGGCATAGCTGCACATTCATTCTTCCCACTCCCAGAACAAACTTATTATGTCAGTCTCCATTGCATCGTTTATGCTATCCACGGTTAATGACTTAAGTAGAGATATTGATTTATTTTGTACTAGCATTTCCAATATTAAAAATCTCTATTCTTGATTCCTTATCAAATAGTTATTTATTATACAAGGTAGAGGAGTATTACATTTTAGGTCGAGGTTGTGCGGAGAGCTAAAATCTAATATTTTTCTTGTGTATAATATACTATTTTATTATGTGACGGGAAAAACGACGATTTAATATTGAAAAAATATTCTAAAATACCTGGTGGCATCCCTCCATGTTAAAATTGCGTCTGCCGTGGCATCCACGTCCTCGTGGCATCCGATATACAGCTGCCACGAGGACTTTCGATGAAACTCATCGCAAATGAAAGGATCTCACCCCTACTAACTCTCGGCAAAATATTGGCGGGATGCCAAAACAGCCTATTTTTGTATGTTTTTAAACATGGTAGTTTAAGCAATGACCGCAACTGCCGCCACTTTCGTGTGCTGTATATTCTGAGATATATTTAAGGCCAAGTTCAATGACAAGTGACGGCGACTTTTTTATCACAAGAAATGCAGCTTTGAACGATAATATTTTCAAAAACTGTTTTCATAAATGGGTTCAAAAAACTGTAAAAAATGATGGAAAGTCTATGGTTTGTTTTACTTTTAATGCAAAATATTTTAATAAGTGATATTTAACAAATATTTAAAAGTTATGGACTTTCCATCATTTTTTAAAGTATTTAAAAGTTAAAACGCAACATACATTCTTTTATTTTTGCCTAATTATTTCAGGATTCTTGTGATAAGATTTAAAAATGTAGGGCCCATAAGATGCTGCCATCTGAACAGACGGAATAGACACTAAAAATTGAAAAATTGCAACATGGCTCCCTATGCAGACGAATGTAAAATGGCTTAGCCCAATTTGACCATGTTTATGGGTGAGGGGCGAGGTGGTGTGTGGGGAAAGGTTGCAAGTAAATAAATTATTCAATTGCTGCGTTTGAGAATCCACATCGGATGCATCTGAGATGTAAAAAATCTTTGATCACGTGATTCAGTATACGCAAATGTAATGGGACAGATGTGTCCGATGTGGATAAAAAAACGCTCGAGATGTAAAAAATGCATCCGATGTGGATTCTCAAACGCGGCATATAAATGCTATTTTCTGTTTGGAACACAAGCATGTTTGTTTTGAAAATTTGACGTTTATGGTTTGACGTGTCATTTCAATTTAATAGACTTTAATAATTTAAAAGATGCAATGTACTTTATATTATTTATATATATTATTGTAGATCCAGGTATGTTTTCGGTTTTTATTTTATTTTTATTTTCTTTATTTGGCTAGTTTGCTAATATCACAATATTCAAATTTAGTAAAAAATAATGTAATAATATAACAATTATTTTAATAACATTCTAAATAGGAAATGTAATTTAACTGCAATTCTTTTGATAACAGTATTTGCCTATGGTCTGTGAATTTCATCTGTTTCCGAATAATTGCCCTTAAATGTTTGAATTTTTCTACTAACTGTATAGATTTTCTTCCAATTTCCTGTATTGTTTGTCCACAAACTGCATATAGTTATTACTTATCAGCTTATATTTTGTTTTAGATATTTGTGTTGATTTTTAACAAATGATTGCAACATCATTTATAAACATTTTGCAGAGTTTCATTGACAATTAACTCTTAGTTATCTGAATCCTTACAACTTACAAGAAACATAGATAAGGACATCAAAGGCAAACAGGTAAATGTCATATAATTATTGCAACATTAACAATCATTAATATAAATTAAAAATAACAGGGGACTTAATTTTCTTCCTTTGATGTGGTTAATTTCTTCTGATCAGAACAGCGATTCTTTTGTGCCAACTCGACACATTACATACAGAATAGAGAGAGTCATTACATCAAAATCGCTGTCTGGCGAACAAAGATAGGAGTCTCTATAGAAGACTCATTGAAAGATGAGAATCCCACTACATATGTTATTTAATTTTAATATCTCTGACCTGATACTTAGGTAATCTACATGCTACTCCAATGCATGCTTTATAGCATAGATATAAAAAAACCACCTTTATACCAATACTTTTTATTTTTTTTTATCGAATGGTTTTGATCAATAGAATCAAGTGCATTTTAAAGAAATACAATTAATTTTTAATTGTACATATGGCGGGTTGTACAATAGGCAGTTAAAATGTAGACTTAGTTTAAACTGTGAACCTTGTTGTATACTCATCGGTTATTGTTAAACATAGTTTTAAAAATGACATTTGTTTTTGAATATAACTAGTTAAAAATAAAACTCTTGTTAGTTAAAATATGTTTAGAATATTTTTTGTACATACATAATGTATTTTGTAATAATTAAAAATCATAATATTCTTGTAAGGAAGTTGGAAAGATTAGGGTTTGATCAGTCGCTGTTGAGATTATTTTCATCTTACCTAAATCATCGTTTTAATTATGTCTTTTACAACGGATTTTCATCTTCACCCCTCACAGTAACATCTGGAGTTCCACAGAGCTCCAATCTGGGGCCACTATTATTTAGTATATTTATAAATGACTTGGCAATAAATTTAACCTGCTGTTCGCTGCTGACTTAAAAATATTTACCTCAATCTTATCAATTCAAGACTGTTACTTTTTACAGACCCAACTTGGGAATCGTTGAAAATTGGTGTAATGAAAACAAGCTGTTTATGAATGTGTCTAAATGTAAAGTATGTTCCTATACTAGAAGTATTAACAAGGTGGAGTTTGATTATTTATTTAACAGCCTACCTTTTTTGGACTTGTGGCACAAATTGAAGATTAAGGTATATTATTCAACCAAAAAGTTACTTTTTCGGATTATATTGAAAATACCGTTGCTTCCGAGGTTGCTTCTGCGTTGAAAAGCTTAGGGTTCTTAATTCCGCAATACTCGTTCTTTAACAAATTCTTAAAGCTTGGAGATCCTTACTTTTCTTTAGTTCGTTCCAGGCCAGAATATGCATCTCTTGTCTGGAACCTTATTTACAATATTCATAAAAGATCATTGGAAAATGTTCAGCGGCGATCTCTTGAGTACCTTTCTTTTAAAATAGATGAGCTGTATCCAATTCGAGGTATTGAAGAATCTCTGCTTCTTTCGAAAAAAGAAGGGTAGTTTCCAGTGTTACATTTTTTTTATAAAATATTACATAACACTATTGATGTACTATTTTTGATAAATTAAATAAATTTTAATGTTCCCCAAACAGCCATTAGATATCATAAAACATTTTATACAGCAAGTATTTGAACGAACTTGGGAAGAAATTCGCCTATAAGGCTAATGTGCTCAAATTTTAATTAATTTTGTTCTGATTGGGATATTTATTTCGACCATTAGTTGTACTAATTTGTAGCTAATGTATTTAGGATTCTTTCTTTTTTTTTTCTTGCTGTTGCTAAAATTATTTTCTGTCGAAATATTATGTTTAACATTTATTTCATGTATTTTGTTCTGTAAATGGATTAATTTGTTGGGCAATAAAATTATTTTTATTTTATTAAGCAAAAAAATGTTTATTTTGATGCACCTACCACCTTTAAAAGTTTGTCAGTATATTAACAAGAAATCCTATATAATTCCCAAAGAAAAATATTTTTAGAATAAATTCCGAATTCTATTTATTGATATTTGTTATTTTTTAGGTTCAGTGACTCGAAACATGATGATCAGCTACACCAAGAATATCCTTGATACTTTAAAAAAATGGTACGAGATTAAGCAGATTTGATGCTATGTCACATTGTGGTGCGAAGACGTGGCTTGTATAAATTTGGGGTATCAGTTGATAGAAAACAGTACGCAAAAATAAATTTAAATCTGCAGATGCATCAGAGATAGCCATATTCCATACCACAATATGTCATGCGTGAACTCGATGAGATTTCATCGGCTAAGTATCATTCCTCTGTAATGTTTTGTATCATTAGGAACACGCAACATTGTAAACAATTATGACCAGGGTTTTTTGACCTTTTCCCTAGGTCAGAGAGAATAAATGAATACTAAATAATGTATAGTAATAAAGATTAAAAATATATATATACTTTTAAGAATTTTATTATGTCAGCCATAGTTTTATACCAAAAATGAAAATAAACTGAAATTATACATTAAAAATACATTCATAAATAACTATATTTATAACACTCATCGACTCTCTTCCGGCTAAAATATGACTTATCTATCTATTAGGCTCTGTTCCGTCTATTTTTTGCCTTTAGCCTCCTTCTGACACTTCCATTCGTTCTTATTCAGTGTAGTATTCACATAGTTTTCAGAATATCAAGTGTTATACCTATCTGATGCTTGGTCCTGCAAACTTCATCTTCAGTACACCTGCTTATGTGACATCTATCTCGATGTCAAGTTTGATTGAACACCCGTTTC